CCCCAAGCTCCTTCTCTGGCTCCTCACCCGACTGTCTCATTTTTCTCAAGGCACCAGCACAACCTCCCACCCAATCACCACACCAAAACAGGGACTAGTGAATTGCCTAGATTCCTTCCATTCAGTCACAGAGTCTAGTAGGCTTCTCCTCTCAAATACCACTCACATCCAGTGGTGTGCTGGTGAATGTTCAACAACCAACTCTTTGGGGAAAAAAATTCCCAATGTGTAGTGTTTGCCAATTTCCATGGTGTATATCCTCCCTCTATGGCCAATTTCAAGCTGTAACATGAAGACACTAAATACGGAGTTGGGAAGAGATGTGCACAAGCTCGTACGAGCTGGCTCCAGGGCACTGTGCTTTCTTCCACCTTCCTGCCCTAGATCAGAGTTTCATGGCCCTTCATGACCCAAGGATCTGTCCCTGCTGACTATTCTAACCTCATGGACCCCTGTTCCTGGAAGCTTTCCTGGTACCCTTTTGCTCCTGTTGGGTCATTTAAGTGACCCATAATGCCCTGTGTACATCTTCGTCGTCATATCACAATGCAATGGTATGTGTTTATGTCAGTCTTTCTCACTGATCTATGAACTCATTGAGCACAGAAACTGGCAGTAATGGTGAAGGGTAGTAGTTATTGAGCTGGGAACTATGCTAAGTATCTTAAATGCATTATCTCATTTCATCTTCACTCTAACTCTATCAGGTTGATGCTCTTATTATACTCATTTTACAGATAAGGAAATTGAGGCACGGAGAGGCTGGATAATCCACCCAAGGCTGCACAGCTGGCGGCACAAATCTAGAGCCAGATTTGATCCCAGGCCTGATTGTAGAACCAAGACCCTTGACTACTAAGGCTTCTTTGTCTTTGTGTGTCTAGCACTTGGCACTCTGCCTGGTCCATAGCAGGTGCCTTTTGATTGTGTGTTGAGTAATAAGGGAAGGCTAATGTTGGCAGTATCCTTGACTAGTTTCTTTGCTCTTGCTTAGCTTCAGTCTAATCTCTCAACAGCAGGCAGTATGACCTTTCAAAACTATAAACCTGGTCATGTAATCCATCTGATGAAAATGTTCCAATGTCTCCATAACTTTCAAGATGAATTCCTTACCCTGATACCTATGAGCCTTCATGATCTGATGTCTGCTTGTTTCTTTAGATACACCTTCCACTATTCATAATCACATTTTTTCATTCAAATTTTATTACTTATCCAACAGATGCAGTATTTATTAAATAATTAGGCCTAACAAGGTTCCAGGCCTTGTTCTAGGATGTGTACAAAAAGAAGCAATCTCTTCCCTAGAGAAGCTTAGAGTTCAGTGGAGAGAGACAGACACACTTCACATAGCTGCTCAGTAGGTTGAAACAGAATTGCATCCAGCTCTCACTGGGGACCACAACAGGTCTTGCTCTCAGTCTCATATGTGTTCTTGCCACGCTATTGGCACATTTCCAAAGGAGTCCTGCGGCTGAGTTTTTAAATTCATTTGCACATGCTCTTTTCTGTTCTTAGAAATTTTTCTTGGGTGCCTGGATGGTTCAGTTGTTGAGCGTCTGCCTTCGGCTCAGGTCATGATCCCAGGGTCCTGGGATCGAGCCCTGCATCGGGCTTCCTGCTCCACGGGCAGCGTGCTTCTCCCTCTCCCACTCCCCCTGCTTGTGTTCCCTCTCTCGCTGTGTCTCTCTGTTAAATAAATAAAATCTTTAAAAAGATTTTTTTCCTTAATAACCATCTACTTATCCTTGAAAATTCCTTCTCAAGTGTCGCCTGCAAGGAGTCCTTGCCACCACCACCTCACCCCGGCCAGCCTAACTGAAAAGTCCCACAGTATTCCTATCTATAACCATCCTAATGCTTAACACCATATACTGCGCTAGCTGATTTTCTTGTCCCTCTCACTGGGTTGTGAACTCATCTCTGATTTTATTCCTGCACACATAGTGGATACTAAGTGTATGTTGAATGAATGAATGAAACAGTCAGTGAAGTAATGATTGGAAATGTCGTCTTTACTCATCCAACTCTGACTTGGTAGTGGCTCTAAACACCACCATTAGATTTAAAATCCAGCTTTATAGAAGTTGGACAGAATATCCTTAGCAAATGAGAAAAGGAGAGCGTTTGGCTTCTCCTCCTCTCCTCTCCTTTCTCTTCTTCTACCCCTCTGTCTCCTTCTTTGGGATATTTATGAACATTTCTGCTCGAATTTCTCATGAACACTGGTGTTTCAGAGGGAAAGTATTTTAATGTTTAAATCCAAAGGGCAACCATTGGGGATCCTCACTGCTGCTTTTTAGAATCTTTTAAAAACCTACAGTTATTGAAACAGACAAATTTTGTCATCTTGGCTGTTGTCTGAATACTCTGGGCAGTGATGCTGTGTGACAAAAGGTGAGAGTTGATAAAGGAAGGAACAGGGGGCATCTGGGTTGGGGAAAGTGATACGGGAACAGAGCATATCAGATGGTAACAAAAAAGGACTGGTCGGTGGTGGATGGGCAGGTGGGTGGAGGAAGCAAGAGCAATGAAAGGAAGGTCCTCGTGGTATGTACCCTACTCACACCTTTGGGGAGCACTTTTTCCCCAAAGGTCTGTGTATGTCTATTAGTAGGTCCTGTGGATTCAACTTGGACTTGTCTTTGGTCCTCCCTGGTGGATTGATCCTCTCACTATGTGCTTTTTTCTTGTCTGGCCAAGGGCAGCAGGACAGGTTACCATGTGGCAGCTATCCCTGAGCTTAGAAGGGGAGGCAGAGAACTAGGGTGAGGAAGGGCTTTCTCTCTGAGAGTGATTTAAAGGGGTAGTTCTCTGGCACTCCCAGGAGGCCTGGGCAGCTTCTCCTGTTCTGAGCAGGACTCTGACACCCACAAAAGCCAAATGTAGAACAGGGTAGGATCAAAGCTTGAAACCAAGCCTCACTGACAGGGGGTGGGATGCTCAACAATGCCATCTCTGCAGGTTTCTGTGTAATAAGTGTTTAAGACATTTATAGCAAAGGGATTATTTTTAAAAGCATGAGATTTATTTTAACAGTCATTTAAGAGTTTCCCTGTGTGTGCAAAGCCTCCTGAAAACAATTTTATCTGACACTATGGATTTATCTTGTTGAGTAATTTCCTTTGAGTCTGGAAGGCACAGATGTGATTTTGGAGTCCCTGAGAAAGCTGGCTACTGCGGGGATCCTCTCTCCTTGTTCATTAAGGTGTTTGGACATGCCACATGGGGCAGGTCCTGAGAGCTGTAGACCATCTCCTATTTCTTCCTGGGGATGGTGGTGGGGGAGGGTGGGTGATGTAAAGCAAGTGATACATTGGTCAGGTCTTAGCATCTGTGGGCCACCTCCAGGTTTGCCTGGAGCAGTGTGTGTGTGTGTGTGTGTGTGTGCGCACACATGCTGTATAAAGCAGATGGGACACCAGCAGGGGATTCAGTGGGAAATTAAACAGATTCTTCCCTCCACCTGCTTCTCTTAGCAGTCAGCTTGACCAAAGCCCAAAGAAGCAGTAGAAGCAAGTCAGTCTTGCCTGTTGTTGGAGCATGAAATGGGGCGGTGATGGTGGGGAGGGGAGTGAACACATGCTCAAGAATCAGGGCAGCCTGCTTGGTTTTCCTGCATATCACTTACTAGCTGTGAGACCCTGGGCAAGCTAGTTAACCTGAGTAATCACTTTGCCTTCTCTGTAAACTGGGGATATTAGTGTCTACTTCCTAGGGCTGTTATGAGGATTAATGAGTCAGGTAAAGTGCCTCTCCTTTGGCTTAGCTCAGAGTAAGAAATCCAAACCACCTCGAATGTCCCTGAACAATTGTGGTGGCATTCAAAGTCATCTCCCTTCTGTTCTTATCCCACCAAGCAACCAGAACAAATTTCTTCATTTTTTTCTTTTTGTTTGTTTATTCATTTGGGTTATTTTAGGTTCCACACGTGGTGAAACCATATGGTATTTGTCTTTCTCAGTGTGACTTATTTCACTTAGCATAATACCCTCTAGGTCCATCCATGTTGTCACCAGTGGCACGACCGCATCCTTTCTGATGGCTGAGTAATATTCCCTTGTAGATGTATATACCACATCTTCTTTATCCATTCATCTACTGATGGACACTTAGTGGCTTCCGTATCTTGGATATTGTAAATGTTTCTCCTGAGTTTGCTAGGTATAGAATCATGTTATCTACAAACAAATACTGTTTTGTCCTCTTTATTATATATTCCTATGTTTTATATTCTTCTTTATTCTTTTTAAATTTTAACATCTTTATTATGATCAGAAAGAAACCAGTAAGTGTATTTTCATTCTTTTAAACCAATAAAAAGGACAAAAATATTGTGTTACATTTTGGGAAGTCTAACAAAAACGTGAAGCAAGATAACTTCTTGATGAACTTAACTGGAAATAATCTGTCCAACCAACAAACCAACCAACCAACCAGCCAGCCAACCGTCCATGCATCCATGCATCCATGCATCCATCCACAAATGTTTATTGCCGCCTTTTTTATACCATAGATTCTTGTGGCTACTATAAGAAGTACATGGTCCCTGCTCTTTAAAGACTTCAGATGGAGAAACAAACACAAGGGAAAGCAATTGTAATAGTGCATAATGTAAAGCACAGGGTGTTAATGGAAGCACATAAAAAAGGGCACCTAAATCAGCCTTAGACAGTCAGGGAAGGTTGCTGGAGGAGAGTAACCTCTAAGGAGAGTTCTTTTTTTAAAAATTTAAATTCAATTAATTAACATATAATGTATTATTAGTTTCAGAGGTAGAGGTCAGTGATTCATCAGTGTTATATAATACCCAGTGCTCATTACATCATGATCTAAAGAGATTTCTAAAGGAATATTTGAATGGAAGAAAGATCACACTCTCAATAAATATATACTATTTAGTTGCTTTAAAATTCTTGGGTGCAGGCCTGTCCATGTTTTTAGATGCTAGCCATTCTGAAATCTTCATGAATCTCAGGACTTTTAATTTGCCTTTGCAGCTCAGGGGCCCAGTGACACTCTGGAGAACCCGGTGCTGGATACAAGTCTGCTGGAGGAATTCTTGGGCAATGATTTCGATCTGGGGGCCTTGTAAGTAATGAAAGCACTGCTCTCCATTTGATGTTTTAAAAGTTACGAAATAATTAAATGAGCTGGAAAGTGTTCCGTCCTCTTCTATTTTCCAAAAGGGCATGGATGGAGTTGGTATTGTTTCTTCTGGCAGTTTTCCTGAGTGAAGTCTGCTGGGCCTGGAATTTTCTTTATAGGAAGGTCCCCTCCTTCCAATTCAATATCTTTAATAGATATCGGGCTATTGAGGTTATCTGTTGGTAGTTACCAGCTTAGGCAGTTATTGTCTTCCGGTGAATTTATTCATCTAAGTTGTCAAATTCACTGGCATGAAGTTGCTCATCATATTCCCTTATTTTATTTTTAATGTCTGTAGAATCTATAGTGATAATCTTTTTGTTGTTCTTGATATCAGTAATTTGTGTCTTTTTATTCTTGATCCATCTGGCAAGAGGTTTATCAGTTTTCTTAACCCTTTGGAAATCCAGCTTTTGGTTAAATGTATATTCCTAATTGTTTTTCTGTTTTGTATTTCATTGATTTCTGCTCTCGTATTCTGATATTAACATAGCCACTCCAGCTTTCTTTTATTTTTAATTTACATACAGTAACATTCAATTTTTATCCTGTATATAGTTTTGTGAGTTTTGACAAGTTCATAGACTTGTACAACTACCATCATGATCAGCACAAACAATAGTTCCCTCACCTGAAACACTTCCTTTATGCTTCCCCTTTGTGGTCAAACACCCACCCCAGCCCCTAGTGACCACTGGTCTGTTCTCTGTCCCTATGGTTTTGCTTTTCTTGAATGTCACATAAATGAAATCTATGAGATAAAACATTTTTAGTATGGCTTCTTTTACTAAGCATAAAGTCTTTGATCAATAGTTCATTCCTTTTTATTGCTGAGAAAGACTCTGTTGAATGTTTATAATTCAGTTTGTTTATCTAGTTACCCATTCAAGGACATTTGGATTATTTCCAGTTTTTGGCCATTATGAATAGTTTCTATAAATATTAATGCCCAGGGTTTTTTTGTTGTTTTTTTTTGTTTGTTTTTTTGTTTTAAAGATTTTATTTATTTATTTGAGAGAGAGCGAATGAGAGAGAGCAAGCACATGAGAGGGGGGAGGGTCAGAGGGAGAAGCAGACTCCCCGCCGAGCAGGGAGCCCGATGCAGGACTCGATCCAGGGACTCCAGGATCATGACCTGAGCCGAAGGCAGTTGCTTAACCAAGTGAGCCACCCAGGCGCCCGCCCAGGTTTTTATGTGATCAAGAGTTTTAATTTCCGAGGTAATATTTATTTATTTATTTATTCAAATTTTTATTTAAATTCTAGTTGCTTAACATATAGTGTAATATTGGTTTCAGGAGTAGAATTTAGTGATTCATCACTTACATCATAAAAAGTGTTCATCATAGGATGTCCCCTCCTTAATACTTATTACACATTTAGCTCATCCCCCACCCACCTCCCTCCATCAACCTTCAGCTTTTTTTCTATCTTTTAGAGTCTCTTATGGTTTGCTTCCCTTGCTCTTTTTCCCCCCTTCCCATATGTTCATCTGTTTTGTTTCCTAAATTCCATATATGAGTGAAATCATATGGTATTTGTCTTTCTCTGACTTATTTCACTTAGCATAATATACTCTAGCTTCATCCACATCATTGCAAACAGCAAGATTTCGTTCTTTTTGATGGCTGAGTAATATTCCATTATGTGTCTGTTTTTGTGCCAGTACCATACTGTCTTGATGACTACAGCTTTGTCATATAGCTTGAAGTCTAGAATCATGATGTCTCCAGCTTTGCTTTTCTTTTTCAGGATTTTATATATATATATATATATATATATATATATATGTATTCTTTATCCATTCATCAGTTGATGGACATTTGGGCTCTTTCCATAGTTTGGCTATTGTTGATAATGCTGCTATAAACATTGGGGTGCATGTGCCCCTTCAAATGTGTATTTTTGTATCCTTTGGGTAAATACCTTGTAGTGCAATTGTTGGGTCATAGGGTAGTTCTATTTTTAACTTTTTGAGGAACATCCATACTGTTTTCCAGAGTGGCTGCACCAGTTTGCATTCCCACCAACAGTGTAAGAGGGTTCCCCTTTCTCTGCATCCTCGCCAACATCTGTTGTTTCCTGTGCTGTTAATTTTAGCCATTCTGACAGGTGAGAGATGGTAACTCATTGTGATTTTGATTTGCATTTCCCCGATGGTGAGTGATGTTGAGCATCTTTTCATGTGTCTGTTAGCCATCTGGTTGTCTTCTTTGGAAGAATGTCTATTCATGTCTTTTGCCCATTTCTTCCTTCCTTCCTTCCTTCCTTCCTTCCTTCCTTCTTTCCTTCCTTCCTTCCTTCCTTCTTTCCTTTTCTTTCATTCTTTTTTAAAGACTTATTTATTTATTTGAGAGAGAGAGCACATGCATGAGTTGGGGGAGGGGCAGAGGGACAGAATCTTTAAGTAGACTTCCTGGTAAGTGCAGAGCCCCATGCAGGGCTCAATTCCATGACCCATGAGATCATGGCCTGAGCTGAAACTAACAGCCAGAAGCTCAACTGACTGAACCACCCAGACACTCCTCTTCTGCCTATTTTTTAACTGTATTATTTATTTTTGGGGTGCTAAGTTTGATAAGTTCTTTATAGATTTTGGATACCCACCCTTTATCAAATAATGTCATTTGTAAATATCTTCTCCTATTTCATAGGCTGCCTTTAGTTTTGTTGATTGTTTCCTTCACTGTGCAGAAGTTTTTTATCTTGATGAAGTCCCAATGGTTCATTTTTGCTTTTGTTTCCCTTGTCTCCTGAGACATGTCTAGTAAGAAGTTGCTACAGCCAAGGTCAAAGAGGTTGCTGCCTGTGTTCTCTTCTAGGAGTTGGTGGTTTCCTGTCTCACATTTAGGTCTTTCATCCATTTTGAATTTATTTTTGTGTATGGTGTAAGAAAGTGGTCCAGTTTCATTCTTCTGCATGTTGCTGTCCCATTTTCCCAACACCCTTTGTTGAAGAGACTGTCTTTTTTCCACTGGGTATTCCTTCCTGTTTTGTTGAAGATTAGTTAATCATATAGTTATGGGTCAATTTCTGGGATTTTCTATTCTGTTTCATTAATCTATGTGTCTGTTTTTGTGCCAGTACCATACTGTCTTGATGACTACAGCTTTGTAATAGAGCTTGAAGTCTAGAATCATGATGTCTCCAGCTTTGCTTTTCTTTTTCAGGATTGCTTTGGCTATTCAGGGTCTTTTGTGGTTCCATACAAATTTTAGTATTGTTTGTTCTAGCTCTGTGAAAAATGCTGGTGTTATTTTGATAGGGTTTGCATTAAATGTGTAGATTGTTTTGGGTAGTATAGACATTTTAACAATGTTTGTTTTTCTAATCCATGAGCATGGAATGTTTTTCCATTTCTTTGTGTCCTCTTCAATTTCTTTCATAAGTGGTCTATAGTTTTCAGAGTACAGATCTTTTACGTCTTTGGTTAGGTTTATTCCTAGGTATCTTATTGTTTCTGGTGAGATTGTAAATGGGATCGATTTCTTGATTTCTTTTTCTGCTGCTTCATTAGTTGTATATAGAAATGCAACAGATTTCTCTATGTTGATTTTATATCCTACAACTTTGCTGAATTCATGTATTAGTCCTAGCAATTTTTTGTTGGAGTCTTTCAGGTTTTCTGCATAGAGTATCATATCATCTGCAAATATTGACAGTTTGGCTTCTTCCTTGCCGATTTGGATGCCTTTTATTTCTTTTTGTTGTCTGATTGCTGAGGCTAAGACTTCTAATACTATGTTAAATAGTAATGGTGGGAGTGGGCTTTCCTGTCTTGTTCCTGACCATAGAGGAAAAGCTCTGTTTTTCCCCATGAGGATCTGAGGGTAATATTTAGAATGAAGTCTGCTGGGTGATATTTTGAGTATAAGCTTAACTTTATAGAAATTGCCAAATTTTCTAGAGCAGCCATACCATTTTCCATTACCATTAGCAGTGTATAAGACATCCAATTGCTTCTCTTCATTGCCGGTTCTTGGTATTATCAGTTTAGAAAATTTTTATTATAGCCATTCTATAATAAAAAGCCATTGTATCTCATTGTGTTTTAACTTGCATTTTCCTAATGACTAATGATGTTGAGTATCATTTTGTGTGCTTGTTTGCTATTTATACATTTTCTTTGGTATAGGTTCTGTGCAAATTTTTTGCCCATTGTGGAGTTTTCTTACCTTTGAGTTTAGAGAATTGTTTAATATTCTGGATATAAGAACTTTGTTAGATATGTGATTTGTGAATATTTTCTCCCAGTCTGTAACTTAAGTTTTCATTCTTTTAACACTATCTTTCCCAAAACAAAAGTTTAAAATTTTGATGATGTCCAACTTATCTTTTTCCTACATGGTTTATGCTTTATATCTAAGAAATATAGATATTGCCCAATCTAAGCTTCCCAAAATTTTCTTCTGTTTTCTTCTGAAAGTTTTAGAGTCTTGCACTTTACATTTAGGCCTATGATCCATTTTGAATTAATTTTTTTTTTTTTTTTTTTTTTAGATTTTATTTATTTGCGAGAGAGAGAATGAGAGACAGAGAGCATGAGAGGGAGGAGGGTCAGAGGGAGAAGCAGACTCCCTGCTCAGCAGGGAGCCCGATGCGGGACTTGATCCTGGGACTCCAGGATCATGACCTGAGCCGAAGGCAGTGGCTTAACCGACTGAGCCACCCAGGCGCCCTTGAATTAATTTTTTTATAAAGTTTGAGATATAGGTTGAGATTAATTTCTTTGTGTATGGATGTCCAATTATTCTGGATTTATTTGTTGAATAGCCTAGAAAGATTATTAAATTAAATTAAATTACTTTTATGCTGTAGTAAAAAATCAGTTGACCATATTTGTGTAGATCTATATCTAGACTCTAGACTGTTCCATTGATCTATGTGCCTATCATTTTGCCAATACTACACTATCTTGGTTATTGTGATTTTATTATAAGTCT